CGTCCGAATTCACGTCCAACTGAATTTATCTCAAGCCGAACGCGTTGCGCAATCTGAGTACCTTCTTTAATCCTATTTTGTTACGCAACCGTCCTGAATTCATGTGCATACAACAAACGAAATTACTCTCCATGTCTAACTTAATAAAGTTTGAAATGGCATGGAATCTTGTTTGTACATGACAGCACGAACCTTTACAAAATGTGGCATCCATTGCGCAGTTGGTTAGAGGACAATGGGTATTGACAACTTTGAAAGCGTTCATGGATAGGGACGTGCGACAGTGTGGTATGAGTTCCTTGTGTTTCTACGTGATCTTAGTGTGGTGTACGTGTAATTTCAGTGCAATGTCTACATTTAATGCAGTGCATCTTAGTATACAAGACGTAGGAGTACGTGAGCTCGGATAATGCAATTTCGTATTTGCGGTGTGCATCTATGAGCGTCAAGGTAGCTCGTCTTTTGACGTTGTTATGTATCGTCAAACGGAGAAACTAATTAGAATACAAATGCAAGCACATGATATTATAAAGATATTGGTTGCAGATATTATACCTTCCTTTTTGAGGGTGCAATTTGCTTTACTGGTAAATAATTCTAGTTCAAATTTTGCCTGTATACCTATGGCTTGGCTGAAATAGACCCTTTAGATTTTCGAACAACTCTTTGAAAAACGAAACTTGTTCTTAGAATCGAATAAAAAAGTTCAGTAAAACTGATCGACTTTCAAGTTTTTCCACTCAAACTGATCTTATAAAACAAGCAAACTAAAAATTCAATAGAGTTCTCCACGAACTCAATCCTTTTCCATGAATCCTGCCTTTAGTTTATGCCAGTTGTTGGATGAAAAATTGAGTCTTTGATAGCATTGATGGATTACCAAGAACTGTATAACGGAGCCGACTTTATGTAGGAACTGAGCCGTGATACAAAAACCTTTTTGTGTACAATTTTCCTATTTATATGTCATTTTATTGGCTATATTACCCATAATTTCAGTATTTAAGAGCCATGCTTTGGCAAGAACAGGCAGGCTCGACCAGACTGATATCGCGTCCGCAAAGAAAATTGGTACGAGATAACCAGAGCGTTGTGTTTCACCATGTGAGTGAGGTTATTGAAGGCCCAATCCTTCCCCTCCCCAATCCCTAAATCTCCAAAAGATCGGCAACGCTGATTGCTTATCATCAGGTAATCCAAAAGCTCGTTTGCCGTCCTGTCACATAAAAAATATAACTGCGCGTCTTACTAGTTTCTTGAATAGGTCAAAAACAAATAAACTTTTTGTATTTTTATGTTTAAAAATAATAACATTTTCATTTATTGATTTTATACTTAATATTCAACTTTTATAGCAAATATTCAATTGCAGAAAGTTCTGTTTGATGCTAATAAAAATGACGTCAAAGAAACCAAGACTCTACTGTTATTACAGAAATACTTTTGACATTTTCGAGTAGATAAAAACTGGTCAATATTTTTTTAAACGTTGCCCCACTCAAGGATTATCTCCTGTGTTGTCGGTGCGTTTACAAACATACAAATTTACATATACAAACCGCCCAGACCCGAAACAACAGTTTATGGATCACTCAAAGTGTTGTTTCGTGCGGGATTTGAACTTTCGACACGTTACAAAGCAGCCAGTTGCCCAGCCACTGTGCCAACCGTGCATTTATTCATTTTATTATTATTGTTTTTATTTTCTTTTATATATGCTATTAAATTTGATGTCGGCGTGTGAATGAATAGCATAAATGTAGTTCACATAAACCAGACCAGCACAGAGAGCTAAAGAGGTCCATCCAAGTCGGGTCTGGGACGGGAAGGTGAGAAAATTCAAATTAGATTGAAGGAAGTTTTGATTAGATTGAATTTTTCTACACCCTGTCTAATTTTATATGAGCACGGTACGCTGTGTTCTTACATTTTTTCCCGTAATTGTCAGCCCAATTGATGATAAAGTTAATCATGTTAAGACGAAATTGGAGGATCTTTTTTTTGCAATTTTACTAAAGCGTATAGGGGATGTTGCTACCGTCAGTTTATGTTAAGATCAAAATACAATTATGTATTTATTTTCGTATTTTGTAATTTATAAAATCAGTGCATAAAGAAGGGATTCTGCTCCGAACTATGTAACGACGCTCACTAAATATGACTATAAAAACGTAATATTTTCGAATGCCATTGATCAAATCAAATCATTTATTCATCAAATTTTGGGAAAATAATGATCACAAGTGTGTGAGAGCCAGGCTTCGGCACGAATGGGTAGGCTCGACTGGAGTGATACCACAGCGTTGTGTTTCGCCGTGTGAGTGAGGTTACCGGAGGCCCAATCCTTCCCCTCCCCCAATCCAGCCTAAATCCCTAAATCTCCAAATCCTTAAAAGGTCGGCAACGCACTCGTAACTCCTCCGTTGCGGGTGTCCATGGGCGGCGCTGATTGCTTACCATCAGGTCATCCGTACGCACGTTTGCCGACGTTTAACTTAAAAAAAAACAATATTAAGTTAGTACTACCCAAAAATTTACTTGCATAGACTGCTATAACTGGATATTTAGAACACAATTTAATTCTTCAAAGTTCATTAAGTCATGGAAACTACTGAACCGATTTTAATGAAACTTGGACCTCGAAAATTTTATGTTTCTATAGAAACGTAATATCACGTACACTTAGTTAGATATTTCTTTTAGAACAGCAGCTCGCTTTTATATACAGCTAAAATAAACTACATATGAGTGAGTGTGACACACTAGAATTACTAAACGAAATCCCCCTCCAGCGTGGTGGGCTAGGGGTGGGGGTGATAATTACACGACAGTACTTAGGGGATGAAAAATGGTGGTCGCGACGCAAAATATTTTCTCAGACCGCTGAAACTGTGACAAAATGAAATATTTTTTGGATGGCTTGATAGAGAATGTTTGCAAAAATGTAACATAAAACCTGTTTTGTCGGAGGTAAGCAGAGGTGAATTTATCGCATACGGTTTTTTCTATTCCTTTTAGATAAGAATGGGTTCTAATACAATGAATATATGTTTTTTTTCTGCCTATGTTTTAAATAAAGCGTGTTAGAAAATAGAGGAAAATGAAAATAACACGACAAAATTTTCTTTTTAAATAATTTTGCAAATCCATCAACCCAACTAACTACCAAATATAAAGCTTGATTAAACAGATACAAAAACACAGACCTCAATTGACAACAATGACTCGTACCGTGACCCAAGAAAAATCCTTTTCACCTATTTTTCTAGCACAAGACTAAAACTAATAAAAAACTAAACATATCATTCCATGCCTCTTAGACTTTTATGAAATGACTGGCCACTTTAGCAATTGTTCGCGAAGAATATTTTTATGTCTCCCAAGCGATATTGTTAAAAGAAAAACAAGGACCAGAGTACTTTTGAAAATGATTGATGATACTCTCAAGGAGCCAGGAGAAAGAATTCTGTTATAACTAGCTCCCCAAGTGAGAAATGTCTCATTACTGTTATTACCTATAGCGGGATATTTTTAGTAATATAATTTTGTTATAAAATTATGTAAGGAATGAGCAAGAAAAAAGTAAGGGAGTGTTGAACGTCACACAAAAATACAATCTTACAACAAAATATTAAATTTATTCCTTGGCATAAACACATTTCCATTCTATTTTAGCATGATCTTTAGAAATACTTAATGTACCTATTTACAAAAATACTTTAAAATGTAACTCAAAGATAATTAATCTCAGGTTACACTAATAAAATGTTCTTAAAAAGAGAATGTCAAAACAACGTCTCACGAAGTGTACTATTCATATTGAATAAATGAATGAATGAAAACCTTTTCGATTTCTTGTGAGCGTGCGGTTCGGTCTTTCATTCGTTCCATTCGGTGCAGAGTGAAAAAAAGAACGCGGTCTAATTGCGAGTGAGGCTTTTACGTGGTGGCCATGAAATTAGCGATGCATGCACGTCCCATAGGATAGGTCAGATTCAGTACCTTTTTCATACGTTGATAAAAAAGTTCCTTTACTCTGGATTATTTTGTTGTTGGGGACTATCTAAGTCGAGTATAGTGTAATTAGATATCAACTGAATTTTTTTAAAAGTACTTGATTGAAGTATTTATAGCGTCATAGCAATTTGAGTAAATTGCATCATAATATATTTCAGTGATCCGTAAAAACAATTCTAAAATTGCAAATTTTTAGTTTTTTGTCATCACTTCTCTCTTGACTTAAGAAGCCTCACAATATGTCAGCTAAAGTCGCTGTTACTATGGCTCTCGCACTTACATAGCATCTTTTTCCCTTCTGTTAAAGGACGATACTCGTGAATGACAAATTAGGAGATCTCGCAGCGCACGAAATTGCCCCACAAGAATATTTTATTGAATTCCTACACTTTTATATTGCGACCATACTCCACGCTATATTTAGAAGGCTTTTTATCAAAACACGGCCTTTTATACCTCGTATCGCGATTATATTTTGTAAATATGGTTTCTCTAATTTAATAAAGTGAAGATTTATAAAGTTGTCCGATAAGGAGACAAGTTTTTTACGCAATTTGTTTGATAATAACGATGGGAAAAGTTAGTTTAAACAGTTTTTGTCGCAATGCGTAAAGCGGACATTTTTGGTGTAGTGCGAGTTTTGACAGTTTGAATTTTGTTCGTTTTTTTTAAAGGAGTTAGTTCCAATTTCGAACGTGTTATGTTAGTTGTTGAAATTTTATTGAAGGAACGATTACGTATGTTAAGGTCAAAAACTTTTGTTATTTCTTTTTGTGACCTGTTCGAAGCGTTTTCTATCCTATAGGAAATATGCGTGGAATACATGAGCTTTTTTTTTAGATTTTAAATCATCTATTCAATGATTATATTAAGTAAGATAATAAGATTATTAATAACACTACCCAACCCATCCGGAGCGCTATGAATCTTCATATATCACTAGCCACTGACCTCTTTATCACTAAATATCGTCTTGTCCCCAGGAAATTGAGCACTGCTACTACCACGGCACGGTGAAGGACTACCCAGGGGCGTCAGCAGCATTCCACACGTGCAACGGAGTGTCAGGGGTCATTCACATCGGCAACGAGACGTTTGTTATCCACCCCTTCTACGGGGGTGATTTATCGGTCAGTACCGCTTGCTTTTTTACTCTAGATAATAGATACTAAAGGAGTTTTTATACAAAAACGTTTGAATGACTATAAACATCTTCATTTTTAAGTACACAATAAAGTTATGTGTTCGAAAAATAACGTTCTTTATTCAAATTGATCTGATACTGGCTGTCCAGACATTGTTAAAAATATTTTTATAAAGAATATTAATCTTTTCAAATTTCGAATACGATACAAAAGATTAGATAGAATTTATATAAATCTTAAAGTTTCAAAACGTCTAATAATAAAAAATACAAGTTTTTTTGACATGGACTAGTATTTATTTTACGATGTTTAGAGTCATTTATTTCTTTAAAATTTTCCTCGACTTTCTGTACCTTGCGTGTTTTTTTTTTCAATAACAACTATGAATATTTGAAATAAGTAGACACGTCACTTATAAAATCTAATAAATAAATATCATAAGTATCATAAAGAAAAATAACACCTTATTCTACTAACACAGGGTGCATAATAATGATGCTATCATATTAGGACTTTTTCTTATAAACTGTAACTAAACTACTATCTATTTTGTGATTCATAAGAACTATTTGCCATTTAGTCTTTATAAAAAATAAAAATAACCTCTATTTTTCTGTTAAATACTTATGATATGACTTAATACTTATTTCTTTAAATTTAAAATATATTGACTGCACGGTATGCGCGGTGGCTGGGCAACTGGCTGGCGCGCAATGTGTCGCGGTTTCGATTCCCGCACGGAACAACTCTTTGTGTGATGCACAGATTGTGGTTCCGGGTCTGGGTGTAATGTGCATGTGAAATTGTATGTTTCTAAACGCACCCACGACACAGGAGAAAATCCTAGTGTGGGGCAAAGTTTTTTTGTAACCTATTTCATTATTGTGGAAGTTATGTTATTAAATAATTATAAATCAATACTACCCTTTTCAAAAATGCTGCTACTAACCTCAATCTCCGTCTCATTGTATCCAACTACTCCTAATCATCTTCACACTTGTTTGAAGGACGATTTCAATAAACTTATAATTACAATAGCTTCCGCCGACGGTTTCACTCACGTGTTATGTTGATAAAAAGTACCCAATGTGTTAATACAGGGTACCATCAATCTACATACCAAAATTCCAACCAAATCGGTCCAGCCGTTTTTGCGTGACGGAATTATAAAAATACATCCTACATAAATTCTCGCCGACTTTCAGATTCATAAAGTTAGTGGGATTATTACCACAGATTATAAAAAAAATATAATTATTTTTTCTTCATCCCAAAATTCAATTTTAAATACCACTCGGTGACCTCACCCATGAAGCAGTTTTGTAACTTAATCAACTCGTTGTTTAAAAAAAAAACAACTTTTATTTAAAAAGTTCTTTTATTTTAACTGTAACAAAGTTTGTAAACATAAAATATTTTACGGCTAAACACGTTAAAATTTTCTTATGAACGAAGTAACTTTTATTATGAACAGAATAAAAATATTACGTTATAAGGGTTATTTCTAATGTTTATAAAAGGCAAAAAATATATATATGTCATTATGTACTGTAACTTAAAACACCAAGAATATACATATATATACCTACTACATCACATCCGAAGTTATGCATGTTTTTTTTAACGTTAAACACACACGCATCACGCCCAGGCCTGGAACGATTCTTAGATCACACAAGGAGTTGTTTGGTGTGGGAATCGAACCCACGACACGGTACGCGCCATCCGTTCAGTCAAAGTTACTAGGCTTACATGCTTAGATTTTCTCCTTTGTTAGAGGCCTGAACATATAAACCTCACACCACAAGCCGAAACAATTTGTTTGGATCACATAAAGAGTTGTTCCGTGCAAAACTCGAATTTGCGACATGTTATATGGCAAACATTTACCCCACCACGTTTAACACGCAGTGCAGTTTTGTAAAGGTAATTTCTGCCATCTATATTACAGTCTTAATTTCAGTCACTACCAACATGAAAAAAAATCATATGGTCGAATTTCAAATTATGTTAAAACTTCGATCAACGATCTCAAAAGGATTTGATGTTGATCAAAGTTAATGAACATAAAAAAACACCCACGTAAGTACTAAGAAAGAAACCATTTTCATTTCTCTAGTAATTACGCATCCAACAGCAGTATTCAGGTTGACAAACAGAAATAAACTACAACAAACATTCAATAGCAGTTCTAAACATCAAATCTATCAAAAAAACTAGAAAAATCTGTGTAGAAACTGGCTAACTTTGAACTTTTCAATTAAGGCTAACTGGAAAGCTAATCCATTACACTTTAAGTGGACTATTACAGGAGATTACAAATAAAAAAGTATTTTTTAATTTAGCTCTCCTAAGTGGGCATAATTGGCCTTATTTGTGGCTAACCTGAGGCCAGGCCAAGTTAAAGTAAGATTTTAATCATACCGCTAAATAAAATAATAACTTAATCGCAACTATTACGGTTGAAGAAAAATAACATTAATTTTCTTAGATGATAAGCCGAAAATTGTTTGCGTTTAAATAGTTTGGACAGATTAATTATTTTTGAGGCACCATTTTCTTTTCACTTGTTTTTTGGCCTATCTAAAATACAGGCTTGTAGGCTAATAGTTAGTTATAGTAGGTTCGTATGCTAGTTACTGGCCTATTAGCTAAATATGAGATCCCAAGTAGATTTCTAGAGTTTGGCTATTTGATTTACTAAATTATTCTATTCGTACTCTTACCACAAAAGGCATCATCCAGGCACAAAAGGTTAATGCTAATGCTGGGAACCTATAAAAGAAAAACAATATTATTCATCACCTTGTCGCCTTCGAAATATGCTAGAATCATCATCATCATGATCAGCATCAGCATCAGCAGATCATATAGGTACCCACTGCTGAGCAAACCCTCTTCTTACACGGAGAAGGTTACTTAAGGTGGATTACTGGTGTTGGTGGTACTTTATACAAGACCAGGTTTTGGTCACGATGATATCCTTCACCGTTTATCAGTATTTAACTACAACTAGGAAACTTATAAAAGCAGACACTCTGAGACCTGGGAAGCAGGCCTTAACCTCTGGGCCATCACAACAGACAACCACCAGACAGATGCTACATTATTGGTGTACATCCATCAAAAAAGTGTTCTCTAAATCCTAAGTACGCCTGGTTTACAGTAATCAATCTTATCTCAAATACTTTGTTTAGCCTTAAAACAGATATTTCAAAAATGTTCTCTCCTTTTTTATGCGGTTTCAGTCAAAGCTTATTCTTAGGGTAAATGTTAACCTTTTAATTTAAATTTACCATGTTCCGGTTCAGGTTGTGAAATATTGGTAGAGGTGGAGTAGTTTCTAGTTATGTTTTAAAAATGGTTTGTAGACTCAGAAAGTTTTTTTAAGCAATTTCCAATAACTAATTCTTTTCATAATAAAACAGAAGAGGAAATAAAATAAGTTGTTCAATCATTTTAGAATAAATTTACGTGAATAAATTATTGTGTGTGTAGACCGTAAATAATATTAATCAATACTATTTAATGTAGTTTAATAAATCCGAAATAATCGTTAATAAATTATATAATTTCAATTCGTTTTGCAACTTTAACAAACATATTTAGAAAATACATTTCAAAAAAACATTTTATTCCAACCATTCCTAGACATGACAATCATACTTTTCCTTAAGATTATAAAAATATAAAAGAATTAAAGAAAGATAGATGACAAATCTCATTCTTTTGAAAGCAGGTTAAACACAGCGAATATATTTAGGTAAGTATGTACATTCAAGTACTCACACGAGTAAGTAAAACGCGTCAAAAAGAGCTATTTATGTTATTTACGAGCATTTTCTTTAACGACTCAAATTCTCTTCATGTGCCTACTTTCGATAAAAAAATGGTTTACATTTGTAAGCTTCCAAGATTGTTTGGCGTAATTTACTAGAGGAGGCGACAGCGTCTTAACTTCACGGGGATTTTAATAGTCTTTTTTGTAATTTTAATGATAATACCATGAAAGTCAAAAATATTTATTCAAAGAAAATCATTTAAAGATGATGAAAGAATCGAAAGAGAAGATGTTTGAAACAGCCAAGAAGAATATCCGTCTGTAAGTCTGTTCGTCAGCGAAATAAATGCTCTTTAACTATGATTTCTAACGTGAAAATAATACCAACTATTAGAATTCTTAACCACCACTAAGTCTAAAATGGTGGCTGCTGTATATAGGAAGGGGATTTCGTCAATTACGTGAGATCCATATTCAAAAACATTAAGAAGCTAATATTGGAAAGCTCAGCAGAAACCCACACTTACCTAAACACTGATAGTTTTCCAAAACTCCTTGCTCTTACAACTTAAACCAAAGTGAAATTTATTAAGGGCGCGCGCAAATTTGTCGGTGACAAGTATAACACATTCACGGTTCACAGCGCCCTGATTGCGGAGTAACACGTAAACACCTCTAGGCTACGTTGGGGCGCCAGGCAACAGGATGAAGGAAACATCGCCTTGCCTTACCGTATTATTGTAATACTTCTTTATGGATAAACATGGCGTTATTTTACGAAAAGCGTTTAGATACAAGGATGTCAGTGTTTAGCAGTAAATGTATTGTGGTTGATAGGATTATACTTGACTATGACTCATAATTAATTAAATGAAATATTATGTAGTCTACTGTAATTCTGTAGTTTTACAATTTAATAAAAACTAACTTTATTTTTTAAAGCCTTTGGATTCGAACGCGATGACTTCAAAGTATTTGGCAATAAAATAAAATGTTTTATTTTATTCATTAATAAAATGTATTTTCGGTTACTGACTGAGCCATGAAAAGTTTGTCAAGAACGTGACAGCGTCAGCGGCTGCGTGACAATACGTTTGCAATAAAACTTTTTTGATAAGCTTACCTAAAAATTTCAAACAAATGGCTGTCTAAAGATTTTTACAAGTACACTGAATTTAAAAAATTGTCTCTAAATTTACACAGACTTTTACACTAATACTTTATAGATATCGTTGAAGAGACATTGCCGTGAAGCAAAATTTATGCGGCTAAGAGAAATGAGCTTCTTAATATGCAAGCTTAACACTTCGCCTTCGTTAGGCCTCGCTACCAATACTAAACAGGAGATCTACATAGCCTGTAAATCTAGACTTCGGGAATAAATCTTCTTTTCGGGCTTAGTGATTTTTGCCTTTCTTTAAAATACTCTTTTGTATTGTTCTTTGGTGGCAGTACTTTATTTGTTGGCTGTTTTGCATCGACTGCTATTTAGATCCTCTATTCTCGATTTAAGAGTATTGCAAAATGTGTTACAAACTACATGTTACATAAAATGTGTGTATCATAAAACTATTGTAATCAATATCTAAATATGTACACGTTTTCTCTGCCGAAATTCGTATTTTTAAAAGGTCAGGTTAGGTCCTGGGTGTCATCAAGGCCCGAGTAAATATGCAAGTAGCTTATAGGTAGGCGTGTTCCTTAGTAGGTCGCATCATCGCTTATCCATACGCGAGAGAGTGGCCAAACACGGGCCCATTACAAATAAAAATAAGGAACTCCAGTGTGGTCTCAATAATTTTGATTTTGATGATTGCACGGTTGGTACGGTGGCTGGGCAACTGGCTGCCGTGCAACGTGTCGCGGGTTTGATTCCCGCACGGGACAACTCTTTGTGTGATCCACAAATTGTTGTTCCGGGTCTGGTTGTCATGTGTATGTGAAATTGTATGTTTGTAACCGCACCCACGACACAAAAAATTATAATGTAGGTAAAACCATAGTTACGATATTTTTTTGTGATGGTTGATGATGAATTAGGCTCTTACTGACCATAAACCAGCCCTTTAATTCTCCTGTTCCAAGCTGGGGCCTCGGCACAATAAAGATATCTTAAATAATTATAATAAATCACAAAAGATTTAACTGAGTAAATTTATATTTTATTTGATAAAATATGACAGTTCTAGCGTACTACATGAGTAGATACAATTAAATCTAATTGATACTTAATTACGCAAGCGGCCTGCTGTTGTATATAATTTTATTGTAATTAAATTAGAGGCTTGTTCTTAATTGTCCCTTAACTACATACTGAGTTTTCACTTTGATTTTGACTTTGCTTTTAAATATTATAATATCACGGCTTTGTGTTAGAAAGGGGATGGCAGTAATGCGTTACGCAATATAACGCCCACCTTTGGATAGCTGTTGTGAGCTCCATCATTATTAAATTTGCTGAATTATTCTTGAACTTTTAATAAATAAACATATGCAGATTCAAAAATAAAAAAACTTACGCGCCACTGGACCTATAGAACGGAACAGAAATTTCTCAATTTAAATTAAACAAAATCAATCAAGATTACAATCGGCAATAAACGTCGTCGAAGTGAACTTTCTCAACAAAAAGGCCTAATAATGATATTTGATAAAGATAATTCTTAATCAGATTTTGACGTCAAACAAAACACCCCATAAAACTAAATCCAACCAAATTCAATAGATGAATGATCCATCGTACCCACACAGCGAAGCTCGATACACACATTGACAGCTATAGATATAAGGCTTGGTGCAGACAATAGCACCCTTATCTCCCATGACCCGCTAAACAAAAGCGCCAGAGGGGTAAGATTAATAGATCGCCGTTATTGTGCCCCCGGCCTTATGATCACCTGCCCGAATAAGGATGCTTTGATGTTCGAAATTAGTACAAAGTTTGCATCAGCTTATGATCAGCTGTGGTTCTGTCACTACTCATAATTGTGACGAATTTATCCTTAGATCCTTTTCTTATAGCAAGTAAATGAAATGCAAAAAATCTATCCATACTTAGGGTAGTTATTATCAAACAGCATCAGCTCATAGAACTATCCCCATTTTATGATGAAAGGTTTTTTATTTCATGGAAAAATAATAATGTGACCCTTATACCAAACTCTATATTGTATGATCACTACCACCTACCTAAACCTTAACTAAATTACCAAACATAAATACCATCATTTAAATAATACAGATATTTTCTTCTTCTAAATTAGGTATACTGGCAGACTTTTAGAACGTGAGTTAATTCGAGATGAAAACCCACAGACTATCTATGATAAATATTGGACCACGTTAGCTCAAGAGAATCCACTGATTTATACCGTCATTTGGACAAAGGCGTTTACTCTGCGTCGCTTTAGCCCGTAATAAGTACACATCAAATAAGTAGGTACTAAGTTTGTCTGTCCATCCCTCCCGTGTCACGCGGGACGTGATAATCCGAACCCTTATCGTGCCCGTGCCATAAATTTGGCACGTTCGGGACGCTCGCAGACGGTGACATTTGGGTCTGGAAGCGTAGTATTTTTTTTAATAAGTACTGTAATAACTGTATGTGTGTGTGTGTGTATGTGTAATAAGACTTTTTTGAAGTATTTCGTTTTATTCTAAATGTTGTAGTAGATGTAATTGAGGATAGTTTTATATATGTGTTTTATTGTATTTATTTACAGTTTTATACTTAAATTTGTAGATCTATAGGTCTTTGTCTATAGAATTTGATTTGAATGTTTGCCTAAAAAAGTAAATGCATCAAGAACATTAAGATTATTTTAATAAATATCGTAATAATACAATCCTTAACGAAACTCCAACTATCTTCCTTTTAAAAGTATTTAAACATAAAAATATACAGACCTCATTTCCTTCGTCTGTTAGGTTCTAAGAAAAACCGTTGCGATGGAAACCGCTGTATATAACAGCAATAACAGTAGCTTATGAGGGAAAATGACGTTATAATGTTAACTAAAAGGGAACAACTGCAAAACAGTAGTGCATATACAGACAAAAGTGTATTCATAAAGATTTTTTACGATCATAGGAAGACAAGAATGTACTTAGATGTTATTTATCGTATCACGCTTGTAACACGCGTACGGGAAACGCTGTTATTTTTACATAGATTTTGTGATAATAGTACAAAAATATTTTTTGAAACAATAACGTGTTTTTTTAGAGAAAATGTATTATGTCACGCTCTCTGTTATTGTCACGTCAATTACACAATTTTAATATTTTTAATAATTTCAATTTGAACTGTTACATGTGTTTTATTGTGTACACAACTAAACTAAAAAATGTTTACTGGCATTTTCAATAATAGTACCTATTCGTTTCTAACTGTATGACATGCTTAACAAAAATACTATCACCGACATAAAAAATATATATAAAAATATAACGTTAATATTTAAATAGTCATTTGAGAGCAGCATGTCGCTTAAGGTAATCAACGCGAAAAAAAATTATTTTTTTTACATTTTTCGCTTCTTTAGCTGTGCTATATATTT